ATCATTGGCAAACTTACTCCCGATCAGTTGGTAAACACTGCAGCTATAGAGCAGACAGAGGTACATGAACTAAAGCAAGATGAGCTGAGAGCAATCGGGAAAGAAGCCCGAGGTCATAGCCCATTTAGCCGATTTGCCCTAACAAAACTAAGATTAGCAACGAAGTTGAGGCTTAACAGTTCAAATTAACGGGAAGAGTACAATGAAACGAGATATTTTGCTTTTGCTTCTTTTTTCCTTTTTGTTTTGTTTTTGTTATTGTTGTTTTCCCATTGGAAGAGGCTAGAAGGGAGCGTACAATTTTCCTCCCGGACAATTCGCATCGTTCTCCGGCATTCAGTTTACACGGAAACTTTACTATCAGCCTCAACTAGATGAACTCGACTTAGTCAAAAATATACTCAATCTTTGATTCCTCCAGCCACATCAAGCCCTTTTTGTTTATTCGATGATATGAAGAACCCAAAAGCCACCCGCAAGTGGTCATTTGCCGTGTTCTCACAATAATTACGCGCTTAATCTCCGGACGATTCGCCCCTCTACCATATGCATTTTAATGGTACTATAAAACCTTCATTCACTGTATTACTTGCAAGTTTTGATAGCTAAGTTATTCGCGCAAGCAAATTAACATGTAATGGAGCGAGTCTTCATTAAGATCGAGGGCGTGTCGAATGGGGTGAATTTTTCTTAATATTCCGTTTTTAAAATTCTGTTTTCATAACATTCTGGTTTCTTTTTTGTCATCAAATATATAACCTTTATTGATTTCGTTTTATTCTTCATGTAGTAACAGACTTATTTTATTTTGCAGGGGATAAAGCAAATTATCTAAATGCAAGCGAAGATAAAACTATTGAGTTTGGCACACCAAAAGTCGACCTTGAGAGCTACCCCTTAGATTACGCAGAATAGTGGATTTTAATCGTCCCTTAGGGACGGAAGGTCCAGATAGACTTCGATATAAACGATTATGTTGAGTTCGCTGAGGCATCTATCATAGTTAGTGATCGTAAATCAATACTTGACCATTTTTGTCCAATCCTGACCGTTTGGCTTTGTATTTCCACAGGCGTCCTCAGGACGCTCGTGGAAATACAAATTTTAAAAGGATGCGAGCTACGAGGTTGGAGATACACCATCTAAAAAATTCGCTTAATCCCGCCGGCAATCGTGTTTAAATCCTCTCAACTCGATACTGAGTCAAGGGAACATGGTTTGGGTTCAGGTTATGAGCGACAGAAACTCTACCACTGTGAACAAGGGACTAAAAGCTTCTTTTAAAGCAGGAGTGTTATAACAATAAGGTGTGTTAAGTTTGTCTTTCGTAATATGGCACTGAAGTTCTTTTACATCTTTCTCCGTCAGAAGGTATATCTCATTCAACTCTTAATTAATGATCAACCTACTGTTTTATCACTTGTCACGATCGCAGCAAAGACTGTTTTTTCTGTTTTTCGTAAAACAACTTACTTTTTTACTATAGTTAGTCCATTAGCCATGGAAATAAATGACTCATGAATTGTCCTCAAATCTATCTTTTTTATTGTACCAGGACAAGGAGGATTATTTGTCGGCTGTTCATTAACGCTTCTGTTCTTCTCCGCTTTGATCATGCTCGTGTCGAAGTACAACTTGTTTTGTTTCCGACAGGTGAATCCAGACGAAGTTTTCAGTTCGCTGAAGTTTTGAATCCTTTACTGTTAGCTTAACACTGATTATAAATTGAAAACTTTCAAGAACACAAAGGAGCATTTTGTCAGTGTACTTTTGTTAGATCATTGCTTTCTTAATGTCAAGAGAGTTTATCCTCTCTTGTTGAAATAAATCGATTTTCTTTTAAATGTGTTGTCAGTAAACTACAAAAGTGATTCGAAATAGTTTGATTGAAAACTTCAAATTAAACCTAACTCAAAGAAGAAATGTCATTCTAATTAAAGTCAACTGTCAAACATCAAAGTCGAAGAATTTTTTTTAAAAAGGTCAACCATCAAAGCTATCCCCACACTAAGAAATTCTGAATAATGAAATTGTAGTCCTACTTTTAGTAAGTCTTAAGACCACGAGATAAAAAATTCGCACCCTATTGTTACTGCACCGACCCGTTCGGGCGAATCAAGGAATGTCTTTCCCCTCCCCCCAACCCTCACCTACTCCCGGGAGAAAGCATAAAATATTCCAATGATCACCTCAGAAAAGTACTTAGACACCTTTGATATGA